CCTGCTCCAGCGTGGGCTTCCCACGGGGTCACAGCCTCCTTCGGGCACATCCCCCTGCTCCGGCGTGGGGTCCTCCCCGGGCTGCAGGTGGGGATCTGCTCCCCCGTGGGCCTCCCTGGGCTGCAGGGGCACAGCCTGCCCCACCATGGGCTGCCCCAGGGGCTGCAGGGGAATCTCTGCTCCGGCGCCTGGAGCCCCTCCTGCCCTCCTGCTGCCCTGGCCTGGGGGGCTGCAGGGCTGCTCCTCTCTCTGGCTGCAAATGCCCAGTGATTTTTTTTAATTTATTTATTTTTTTTTTTCCCCCTTTTCTTAAATGTGTTATCCCAGAGGTGTTACCACTGTTGCTGATGGGCTTGGCCTTGGCCAGTGGCAGGTCAGTCTTGGAGCTGGCTGGCACGGGCTCTATCGGACATGGGGGAAGCTTCTAGCAGTTTTTCACAGAAGCCACCCCAGTAGCCCCCCTGCTACCAAAACCTTGCCATGCAAACCTAATACACACTGCATCCGTGGGACTGAGCTGAATTTTGAAAATAAACCAAATGCTGTGATCAGCTTTTTTTTTTTTTTTTTTATGCTTTTGCACGTGTTTGTGTTGCTTTGAGCTAACGCATTTCTGAAGGAGGAATTTGGCCGGTAGGATACGTAGCTGGCAGTGATGAATGAACGAATCTTGTCTGGGGTTCTGAGTGAGCTTGCTTATAAAGTCAGGAAGCGTTCTGTGGGAGTGGCAGACGGCGATGGTGCGCCAAAAAGCCTTTCTTCACACAGCAGAACACACTTCACAACTGCTGGCTGCATTTTTCACAAAGAAAGCCTGCTGTTAGTGTGCTTACATTGGGTTTTTTTTCTCCCTGACTGGCACAGCCAGTATGCTGGGAAGACTCACCTGTCCACTGTGTCTTTTATGTGGGTTTTTAAAATTTTTTTTGCCATGCCCCTTCATCTGGCTGCTCTGGATGGACAACTCTTTGTCTTTAGTGTGTCATATATGCTAGTCATTGAGCAAGGTGAGATGTGAAAACATAAATGTGTGAAGATCTTTGAGATTAAGCTTAAGAAAATGGAGTTCCGTATTTCTGAACTCAGAATTCAGTCTCTTGAATCTAGATGTATGTATTGAAAAAGTCAGGATAATTCGCCTGGAATTTTATCTAGGAACCGTTGTGTGCTACTTGGTTGAGTATATTGTACTGAGCCAAGTAAAATTGTTTGGTATGGTCTGAGCTCATAGTTCAACTTTTTCATCAGTGTTGATCTAGTAGTGCTGGTGTAAGTAACAATTTTTTTTGTTAATGTGGCAAAAAGATTTTCCATGTTTTGGGACAAACTTATAAAGGTGAAGGCCTTTGCAAGTGAACACTTTTATGCTAAATCAGTGAAAGAAATGGCCCATGCTTCTTGATAATGGTGTAAATGCTGCAAAAGTAGGTATGGGAAAGGACTATAATTAGTACATATGTGAACCTTGTTGACCTCTTGAAAGAGGGCAGGGTACTCCTACTTATTTTTATGGGGTGGGTTTTGGTGATTAAATAGCGGATGAGGGCGTTGTGTTTATAGGAGCAGAATTGTGCAGCTTGTATTGAAGGTCTCTGTTTGATTTCTTTGCAATGGAAACTTCTGCCTTCTGGGGAAAAGGGGGGAGGGTGGGACTAGGCAGTTGATTTGCTTTCTGATTAAACAACATACTGTAAAACACCAGGTTGTATAGTGGTAGAGTCATATTTGGACTGATGGAAATTCTTGAGCTCTATTCAAACACAAATGCCGCTGCATTCAGATTTGTTTTTATAAGCCGTAGGGGATGTTCTGAATAACATGTTTGAATTTGAGACAGCTTTGCATCTTTCTGGCTCTCTGCAATTGCTGTATTAGGTAGTGTGTGGGTTTGCCTGCCTTAAGATTGGAGTATACCATCAGGGCAGTGGAGTTGCTTGATGCTCGTACAGTGCTCAGTAGTACTGGGGGCCACAATCAGCACAGCTGGTATTTATTGAACAGAAACTTCTCGGAGTTTTACCAAACCCAAAGATTTACAGAGGGATGGTGGGATCACTTTGTTCTTTGCTTTTGTTTTGTTCCTTCCCCCCACTGGAATCCTTTTTTTCAGATATGTAATTCTTGTGGCTTAAGATAAAAAAAATGCACCTACGTAACTAAAATATTTATTCTTTGCTTTTTTGCCGCATCTGTGGAAAGATTTGTGCCTGGAAAAGCCATGTGCCTGTCAGAGGGAGAATACATCTAAAGAGTTAGGAAGCTTAGCAGAAGTGGTTACAAGGTCTAGGGTTGTTAATATAAGCTGTGTAATATGTGCTAAAATATATACTCCAAAGAAATGCTTTCAATGATGCAGATCTGCAACTGTGTTTTAATCTATTTGCTATCTGTACAGTTAGACAGTTTATTATATAGAAAATGCCTAATAAAACAATTACTTCTACTGTTCCTAATGTACATGCTAATAATTATCCAGTGTGTAGAACTATTTCCCAAAATGTTCATTAAAGCATTGTCATTTAAATTTTGATCTAAATGTAGTTTGTCAGTTTTTTAGCATATCTGTGAGCAACAACAAAATGCGTTACCACTTAAGTGCAATCTTTATAAATGCAACAAGCTTTCTTTCATATTCTGATATATGGATAGTGACATAGCCAATAGAAAAATGAGAACTAAAAGCAGTTATGGGAAAGAAAGGTTAAAGAACATGCTCCCTTCCCTTAATTTATTGTTCCATCTCTGTTCTGTATTTTTATTTTGGATAAATGAATAGGTGGATATTCATACTGAGATCCCGTAGCAGATCTTTTCTCTGAATGTTAGGAAGACCAATTAACTGTTACCATCCAATATTAAATCCTTGATATAGTCTTACATGTATATGTATGATACCTATATCTGTATACATGTAAATTGTTGTTAGTGAGTAGATGTGAGTTCATCTCTGCTGTTGGATCTTTTTATAAAGATGTTCTATGACTGCTGCATTTCCCCATCATGACTTAAATATAGCAAATGTAATTATTATAAGCAGAAATTTGTTTTGTAAGTAGTTAAAGCATTTGAATACAGTCAGATTCCTAAAAGACCTCAGTGTAAAGTTTAGAGGCTACATTTCTTTGGAATCAAGCTAAAAACCTCTGGGAAGATAAAATCCCTAAAGGAATATAAATCAAGTGAAATACTAAAACACCTGTAAAGGAAACAAAACCTGGTGTGTGTAGTCCATGATGTGTCAATGGACATAACCGTAGGTAACAAATCTGCTGACTAAAACAAATAAATAGGACAGGGAAAAAAAATTGAACTAGTGGCAAATGAATTGTCATCACCACTGTGAAAAGCTCACGAAAAGTTTTTGCTTATTTTGCATTCCTCACCACCACCATGGTACTTATGCAAAATAATGAGGAAGATTAAATGTAAGATAGACCCCAGTAAAAACAGTACTAGTGTTTGTATTGATGTGTTTAATATCTCTTTATACCTCTCTCTCTATGTAAGAGAAACAAATATATTATACTTGTTATTATATGAAATGTAATTAAATGTTTTGTGTGTGTATATATACACAGAGTGCTTGCTTGTACATAAACACAAAGCATGCATTTTCAGTTCCACTTTTTTTTCCCCCAAGATAAGGTAGAAGCAGAAAAATTTTGAAATCGGTAATAAAAATGAGAAAATCCTCAGTTTGACAGGAGTTAAGATGACAGAAGGTGTTGAGGGACTAAGGAGGAAAAAGTGAGGGTGGAAGAAATTCTTTCATAGTGTAAGAGCAAGAAGCCTTTAATTATGAAAAACAAAGTTTTGAAGTTGATACAAGGGAAATCCATTTAACAGTGCATAAACATAACATATAGAATTTGCTTCTTAAGACATCCTGAAGTTTAAAAGCTTAGTGGGATTTAAAGTCTTAAGTATTCATACGAATGGCCTTCTTTCATAAGCCAGCTACTTGAGTATAACAAATAGCCTCTTTAGTCTTTCTGCACTAGATTTAGTTGTACGTTCTTTGAAATAGCTTCTGCTGTTCACTGTCAAATATCTGGACTAGGCATCATTGAAGGGGCAATTTCATTAGTCTGAAATCAGTGTTGCTGGATTTTGGCTTCATGCAAAAATGTTTTTATACTTAGAATACCTAATTTTCTGAGAAATTGTAGACATTTAAAATATTATTTGGGGTGGTTCATAGATGGTTATGGATTATGTGCTTTGACTAAATGCAAAAGGAAATTGAATATATTCAGCAAATTTCTACTTGGGCTCTTAGTTGTGCTTATTGAGCAGCTACTCTAACTGTATGTCTATATCATATTATGTGTAGAATAATAATTCTGGTGGTGTTTGAAGATGTTAATGTGTAGGATCTTGTGTTCATACAGAAAATGGTTTTGTACCAACCTCTGAGATCATCGCTGTAGAAGAAACTGAACCTAACAAGAAACAGCGTAATATTGGCAAATGGCAAAAAATGTCAAAGCCACATGCTTTCACAGGTAAGGCAAATACAGTCTCAGAGTGCTTGTGCTAATTACTTTGTTGGAGGTACTTTAGGGCAGACCCAAAAGGAATATTTTTTTTCTTTTTTAACAGAAATTATATGTTTAAAAAAAAAAGCAAAACAAAAAAAACCACCAAACAACAAAAGAAACACGACCACCACCCAAAAAACCCAAAACCCCCCAGCCAAAAAAACCGTGAAACCAACCAACCAAATAAAAGCCCCACCAAAAATCTGCCAGTTTTAAAGGTCCTTATTTTGGAAAATAAACCCCTTCCTTTAAGAACACATGCTGTATTTGGTTACTTAATGAAGTCCTAACTAATGTCTTACGTTTCTGCTGCTGAATGACTAGAAAAGCAAGAGGCTGGAAAAATGAATCTTAAATCTTTGGGGTTTTTAAAAGTATCCCTAACTGTCAGAATGTGTGCATGTAAATATTCTTTGTATTATTGACTGCATTTTTAAAGTGCCAGAAATAAATTTCTCTTTGTTTTGGGGAAAGAGGGGTGACTTCTGTGCTGCAAAGCTGGAGCAAATGTGATTGCTCCCGTGCCAAAATTTTATGCTGTGGAGCACTTTCCTCACATTTAGTCCTTCAGTAAGAACAATTGGTGGTATTGTAGATGGAAAGGTAAGGGTGCTTCTTGTCTCACCAGCCTCAAGATCTTGAAATCTTTTTTTCTCAAATTTCATCTATATGAAATTCAGTTTACCCTGTTGGTTACATGGGAACTGATGTGAGGATTTGGCATATCCTCTAAGCTTATGGCATTTTATATTATGTGGACATTGCAGACTTTAATACGGATAAAATAATGTATAAGCTCAGTGAAGTTTTGTATCAATATGTCTATAATCAGTTTATAGAAAATGGATTGTATTTGATTTAAAAACAAGTTTTTGTTTGGTTATCTGCTGTAAGGTAATGACCTAGAGCAAGTGTTCTAATTTGTGTTTTCATTTTGACTTTTTATAAATATTCTGTTCACGCTCTGAATGCTTCTGTCATTTGCAGAAATGTGTAGTTGGGGTTAATTACCACTTTTTTCCAAAGGTAGATATTTGGGAGATCTCTCTGAAATGCATTTGTCATTTCACAGAACTGTCTCATTATGCCTCTTTTTTTTTAAATTTAAATAGTGTATTACGTGAAGAAAGCCCGAAATCACCGCTGGCGGTGCAGTGATGTGACGTTTTGGTGTAGTGATGAGCACTTGTGTAATCAGTGGATACAGGCGCTGAAACAATTACTTGAAATGCAGAGTAAGTTTGACTAAACTACTAACATTTGCAGCATCGTTTTACAGACATGTATGTCAATTAATACTATTTTGATATATCTGCTTTTTTGAACTCGTAAGAGCAGCTTATGCTCAAAAGTTGAGGGAGCTGAGAGTGTCTCATTCTTCACGTTGCTACTTCTTCATCTTGCATCTTTGCTAAGTTGTACTGAGTGTTTTACGCTAATCAGTCAGGTCTATAGGTATCTTACAGTTTTGCCCAGATGTAAATTATTTTCACAAAATAGGGACGTATTAGAAGTTTAGCAGAGGCTTTAAGTGACTGTAGCTTTGGAGAAAGTAAAGGGCAGATGTAAGCTCAGAGATTTGAGGTACTCTAGAGATCTGAGAACAAGGATTGTAGCAATTGTAAGATTTATGGGTAGCTTTTTGTGTGTCTGTCTCACCTTTCCGGTCTCTGTCATCAACAATGTGCTTTATGTAGGTAAGAGTTCCCATTAATCATTAGGACTCTTGGACGTCTACTTCTTGGAAGGCTAAAAGTAGTTTTGCAGGAGTTATTCCTTGATAGATTTCAGGGAGCAGCAGGAGCAGAGCAACTCCATGGCAGAAGGAAAGTCAAGGATGACCCTAGCACAGGCAGTGCCCTCACCAACCAGGGGGCAGTCCTGCTGCATCTGAGCAGAGCAGGGGTGGGGATAGCAGCAGGTCCCATTTACAGCCCAGATGAGTTAAAGTAATGGGGCCCATCCAGGGGGGGCAGACAGGAGCAGCAGGAGATGGGGCTGAGGCAGGGCTGGAGATAAGCTACCTAGAGTGCAGGTCTGAGGTCCATCTGAGAGACAGAGTTGGAGAAGGAACGGAGAACAAGTACGCCTACAATGTGAGTCAAGCAAGTGCTTAAGGCTCACAGAACAAAAAAGTGTATTTAACAAAATTGTTCTGAAGAGGCATTGGAAGCATGCATCTTACTAATGTTTTTGTTTTGTATGTGTTACACATGAGATATCTGGCTTCCAATAAAATCTTTTAAAAAATAGGGTTTGTGCAGCCATTCACTGTGCTTATGAGAGATGAGGCCTGGGCAGTCATCTCCATTTGAGTGCAGGTGTTCATTCTCTTGGTAACAAACTATTTCAGAAGAGATAACAGGTTCTCAGAATGGTCATTTGGGGGTGTGGCAGCTTTAAACCATTCAAACAATCTAGCCTGGGTGGATTTATTACGCAAGTGTGCCAATCTAATAACACTGCTTATTCTTTTCTTTTAAAATAATAATTTAGAATGCCATCTGAGGAAGTGGGAATGTTGTAACAGGTCTTTGTGTTCTATACAAAAAAGGAAGCCTCTCTAGGTGCCGCAAGCATTACCGTTTTGTGTATCTGTTAGTTCAGAGATATAATAATTAGTTTCATTGCCACCACCAGTGTAAATCCATAACTATTCAAAGAAACTTGAGGAAGTAATATCAAGGGTGTTTTCTGGGGGGAAGGGGTTACACTATAGGGTAAGCACTTGCTGTGCAGCATGTAGTTTTGTGACGGATTCTTATTGTGTCTTTATCGCTGAAGGGAAATGCATTTTAACTATGTTACCAAAGCAAGACTGTTTTTTAAATAAATCAGTGTTGAAGTATTTTTATGTGTGCTTCTCTGACAAGTGCCTTTTCTATTGCTGCCCTTGGTTTGTCTTTTGTCTTGTACGCCTGTGATGCTAATGTCATTTAGTAGAAGGTACTGCCAGAATAATGTGCGTAAGAATGGGAGACATGGAGTTGGATGAAATTATTCTGAATTTCACCTGCTGTCTTATTACCAATTTGTCAGTATGTTCAGTATAACAAAGAGGATAGATGAAGCAGGTTTTTATAGCTCTTTGATAAAGACTTATAGAGTTGTAAGAGTTATAAAAGGCTTGTATGCTGTGTTCACTTTGATGTTTACAGGTTTGGTTTTGTATACATTGTTGAATTTGTGTTTTGCATACTGCAGCATCTAGACCAAAGCAGTTGCTTGTGTATATTAATCCGTATGGAGGAAAACGACAAGGGAAGAGGATTTATGAACAGAAAGTTGCTCCACTCTTCAGTCTGGCTTCTATCTCCACTGATGTTGTTAGTGAGTAATAAATATTTTAATTTCTTAATAAGTGCAATATGAACTCTTTAAAACATCTCTGAGTAGCTTAAGTTCTTTCTGTTAATTACCTTTTCTTACTAAGGAAACTAAGTGGTAGAAAGGGAACGTTTTCTGGTTAAAGCATAGGTAGCTAGATAAATAACCTTGTAACAATTTTCTGCTTAATAAATTAAAATTTGTGGTACTTCTGAGCTATTTGAGCTCTTCATTTATACGATACTGTCTTTCTCCTCTTTTTCCGTTTTACTGTAAAAACCAGTTGTTCACTTGCACAATTTTTTAGTGAAATATTTTTCCACACACATGGCAGTGCATGTCTCTTTCCATTCTTTCCTTGGCATAAAATCTTTTGAAACACATTATATGGGCAGGCTGTTTTATGGTGACATTGGTAATAGAATCATGGTTATTAATTCATTAATAATAATATGTTAATAGTTGTATATTATATACCATTTCATAATAGTATTTTTATAATAGTAATTTTTAATATGTTTATTTCTTCATAGTAACTGAACATGCTAACCATGCTAAGGACAATTTATTTGAAGTTAATATTAATAAATATGATGGGTAAGTAACTTGCTTTTTGTTTTCTTTTTCTAGCTGATATATTCAGTAATCTGTTCTTGTCTTAATTCAAAATAGTAGCCTTCATTGCTGATATGTTTATTACAACAGCTGAAAGTTCTAGGGCATATTCCTTACTGTAGGAGATCCACATTTAGGAGTATCAAAGGAAAACTAAACTGTTTCAGTAAACCTGTTCAACACACAATATATTCAAGTGTATTGTAACAATGTTTGCATGAGATTTATGTTCAAAAGATAAATGTAAGGTTACGTCTACTCATCCAGAAGTTGAGCATTCTGTGATAGCTCAAAAACTACCCTGAAATATTTTGTGGTGTAGGTGATGTTGACATATACATGAGTCCAGAACGCTGTGTCAGTACCATTCAGCCTGCTTGTAAAAGCCATGAGCTGTTCAGAAATGTTTCAGATAGTTCCTCTTGCTATGTAGGACTGTTCAAGTAATGGCTACATCATTTGGGTTTGTTTGTGTTTGTTCTATTGTGGAATTACTGTTTTAAAAGAAGACCTAACTGAATGGTGAAATTGCATTCTGTTATTACATCTGCCATAGAAGCAGAATATTTTAATAAATAAGCTAGTCATTCCAGTTTCTGGTTCATGACATGAAACAAGTTACACGACTGGAAAATCATGAATATGTATGCAGAACCTATGCAGATGAACTCTCATAACTATAGTATTCTAAAATATTATCTTGTGCTTGTAGACAAGTACTTTTAGGCTGGTAAGTTGTAAAAATAAAACATTTTCTATCTTTTCAGAGTAGTTTTGCCAGGGTAGCCGATCTAGATGCATTGTATAAATCAAGTGAGGGCATGATATTGACAAATGGTAGTAGTAAGAAACTACATTCACAGGTTCAATTCCTAGACTTCACCTGCTTTAAAATCAGTTGACTTTAAATAAGCAGTTTTGACTATACTGGGATTTTTCTTAATTTTGCAGAAGTGCAAGGGAGGAAAACTGGGATCCTAGAAAAACCTAATTAGTTAAGATTTTTCCTTTTCATTTGACTGAAGTGATTTGAAATTTATAATACTGACAGTTGGTGAATGTCCGATACAGAGCAGAAAAGGAAGAGAAGTGAGCTCATGTCTACCCCCAGTAACTTGTTTTTTACAAGTGGCAGTGACCAATTTTAGTGGTACCTGAAGTGGTTTTGGCAGTTTGAAACAGTCTCTTACTGTAGTATGTTTTGGGGGTTTGGTTGTTGGCTTTTGTTTTGTTTTGTTTTTCGCTTAGGTGGGTTTTTTTTGGTTTTCTCTCTCTAACGTGACTGAGATAAACAGCTGGCCAGAGAACTGCATCTTTTTAGAAGCTCATGATTCTTCTGTTCCCAGGCTGGGCCTTAATGGCAGTTAGCCTGGGAACTGCCAACGTGTCTTTCTAAACCTGATTTTTGTCCACAAGTCTGTTTCTGTGGTGAACAGTGATGTTAGGAAGGAGTTCTTCTATTAATACTACTTTTAAAATAACAGATCACATGGCTATATAGAAGATTTTTTTAAATGGTTGAACCACATAAATGCGTGTATTTTTTTCAAGTTTGATTGACTCTTCTCACATACAGGAAAAGCTTCTTTAGATTCCTACACCTAGTTGTTTACCTGTCTTCTTAAATTGGTTCTGATAAGTGACTTTCCCTTCATTCAGTGATTTCCCTTCATTCTTAATTTAATCTCTAGATTCCCTGTCTGGCAAACCCATGCCTGTAATTTTGGAACTAGATACAGGATTCTTAATGAAAACCTCTTCACTGCCTTCCAAGTGTTATTTACTTGAGACAGCTTATTTAAACCTCTTCTGCTTGTTCTCTGTTTGTTCTTCCCATTTCCCCTTATAAGAATTTCTTACGATGAGTGTAATCCTCTAATAGCTCCGTGGTGGAACAGCTTCTCTTTGGAGACGGTTACTTAAAATATTCATTCATTTACCATATAGCAAGTTTTTGTACATCATTGTGCAGAGCACCTAGAGCGTGCTGTAATATTGTGCAGGTAACGACCGTGTTTAGAATACGTCTGACCTGTATGAATCGCTGTACTTCCTTATCCATATGCCTGCTGCACAAGCCTTTGTAAAACTGTTTCAGGTCTTTTTTTTTTCCTAGTTACTGAATTAGTTCACAGAATGGTTGAGATTAGTTACAGTTCTTTTAAAACTCATTTGTTTTGTGGACTTGCTTCTCCTGAAGTCCTTTAGCATATGTAGTTTACTGTTATCATCTGTCTAAAAAGTGAAATGCTAGTCCATTAGAAAAATAAACCCAAAATATAAGAATTGCTCTGAGAACATCTCTCTTACAAGTAGTTCTTCACCAGGGGCCATCACACGTGTTACTTGCACATCGGTCATCTGATGTTTGCAATGAATTCGGTCATGCTGATATTGTGTGTGTGAACTTCTTTATCCGTCAATATTTACCCTTGATAGGTATAGACATTTCATATCATTGTCATCTCTGAGCCTGTACTGGGTGTAGTATGTGCTATAAATAGAACACTACTGAGACAACATTGACCTTGAACTGACGTGGAAATTTTTGTCCACTTAACCTCTTATTAGAGTCTACAGAGAAAGATGAGAGAGCCTAAAGTTGAGAAATAATGTAGTTCAGCTATGAGAAGAGAAATTAATTATAAAAATGAAAAACAAACATCCTTTTCTTCCTTTTCTCCCAGTCTTAGGTCTTGACTTGTTGGACAATGTATATTTTTAAGACTGTCCTCTCCATTCATAAAAAAATGACTGGGTTTTTTCAAGCTTTCCTTCTGCTGAAAATACAAAAATAAGTAGATTTAAATCATTGTTGTGGTTAACCTGGTTAAACGCTATCCCAGATGAAACCAGGACAATCATCAATACTTAAAAATTAAATAAAGTAACTTGTCCTATGAAATAAGTGCTCATTCTGCAATATCTGTTGCTGACTATGTGGAAGAGTAAGTATTAGTTTATGCATTGGAAATCATTGCTATAGATAACAAAACATTCCTAAACATGTATGCTGGGGACTACATGTATAACTTTGGATTTGTCGCGTGTTCCTTTAAAGTGTATTTCAATTAGTTTTTCAGTTAAAGAATGTTTATGCTTTTGGAGTTCAGGGTATGCATATGATTATTGTGCATGAAATGTATACTGCTGTAAAATAGTCTTTTACTTCCTAGTATTTGCTTGGCTGTGGACTCTGCTGAGCTTTAACATGTTGAGGATCTGTGTAGCTGCTGCACCAGCTCTGACCTGAATTAAATTTGCAAAACAAAGTTTTGCATCTGGTAACATTTAGAACTCTCTGTCTCATTATGAATGGTTATGTAGATATACATGACTTCTGTCTGTTTGATGGGCTCTCAGCATGTTCAAAAGAGCATGCAAGCATGCACTTTTCTGTTTTTTGACTTTCATATAATGTATATCCCTATTAAATTAATAGTATAAAATATACTTCTGCCTGAAGCCACAAATATTAACTTACCTTTCCCTTTTTAATAAAGGTACCCTATTTCCATTTTGTTTACTTAAAGCTGTATGTACAGTCCTGTTCAGTGTTTTCCTTGTATAGTGAATTTCCACTGATATTTGTCTGTCTGCACACAGCAATAGAGGATAAAGATTATTTTTTTTTTTAGGTTGCATTTCAACATTTTTTTCTAACATTGCAGACATGTCCAGGTGCATTTGCAGTTGTGTAGCTTGAAATTTTTTTTTCCGCTTTTTGTTAATTGCCAAGTTGACTGTGGGCTACTATATGCTGTAAAAATGGAGGAGGATAATAGAACAACTATTTTTGATGTGCCCAGTGCATGCTCTAAGTAGAACACTTGCTGTGTTGTTTATTGACTGTTAGTGTGCATTCTAATTTGTGTTTCCTGGCAGTGTTGTTTGTGTTGGTGGGGACGGCATGTTCAGTGAAGTGATGCATGGTCTCATTGGAAGAATGCAGAAGGACTCTGGCATAGACCAAAATAATCCCAAAGCACCATTAGTCCAGTGCAATATAAGGATTGGCATACTCTTGAAATTTCTTCTTATTCATAACTTCTTGAATTTAGGCCTAAGTGTAAGATATGAGCAATGATATTCCATAAAGATACCTAGCTAAAGCTGTTTGTATCTTGGTATAATTACTGATCATGTGCAATTTTATTTGGGAAGGGTACTTTGTAAAGGAAATCAAATCTTAATGTGCAACTTCAGAATTTAATTACTTTTTTTATTTTTGTGGCTTATTGTGTGTAAATACAAGATAAGATGGTGACAGCAATAGCTTTGCCCATCTGAACACATTAATGAGTGAAATTTACTGAGCATAGACTTACCTGGTAAATATTTTTCCAGTTCCAAATGCTCTACAAATTTAGTTGGAATCATAATGAGAGCCTTCCACTGGTATGGCTAACTCCAAACAAATGCTAAAATTTCTTCTTTTTTTTTTTTTTTTTTTCTCCCTTCCCTTCCCTCCAGTTGCCATCACAGAAAGCATAAGACGACTACAGCTGAGGAACAGTCCTCAGGTTCCAGACCAAGTTGCAGTTTCTGCCCTTTGTTAGAGGTGCTATACCTTCACACTTCTCAATGTCAGGCACTTTTTCAGGCAATCCTGACTGCTGTCATTGAGATAACTCATTCTTGGAATCCAGGTCTTTGGTGATAAACTTAGTTTTTTATTGATCATAGGCACACTTTGGATTAATCTTGCTGTTAAATCTGGTGTCCTGGGTGCTACCTCACCCTGCCCAGCTGGTCCCCAAGATTCCTTCAAAAGTGAACCTATAAGATGTCTCTCTCTTCCAGGACTGGATTCAGTGTTGCAACTCTTTAGTAGCATCTGCAATTTTGAGCACTCTGTGGAAAGACAAATGGACAGTTTAGTGTCTTTTCTATGTTGTTCTATTTTTCTTGTCGGATGCTTGAGATTTGAATTAAAGAACTGGGATATGACATAAAGATTATGAGCTTCTGACTTGAACTAAAACACAGACTTTATAAGAAAATTTAGCACAGGTTATAAAAATACACCAAGTGAAACAGTATATTTGTACCCTCAGGCTTTTGGTGACTAAGTTTATACTCGTTATATCTTTGTGAAGAATGTATCCAAACCCAAATGGTCTGAATTGTTGCTTGGAAGAAGCTTAACCCTTTCTGCTTGCAGTACAGTAAGGGCTAGATATCTAAAAGTTGTGATGTGAATATCCCCTTATGGTCTTTCATTCTCCTTGTTAGCTAGCACGTTAAGGGTTCTCTATAACAGAATTACTATATTTAAGTATATTCTAATTTTATTTGTTAAAGCTGTGTGTTAAAATTAGTTTATATAATAAACTTAAGAATAGAATTTGAAGTGTTCAACCCTTCATTTCCCTTACTTCAGTATATTTCTTGAACTAAAGGTTTTTGCTTTGTTTCAGGAGATTTTGCCTACTGGCAATGTTAGTGACCATAAGAAGATACAATTTAAAAAGCAGAACCTCAATATTAAGAACCTCAATTTTTCTTTGTCCTTAGGAAACTAACTATATGCATGTTAAAATTGAAAGATTAACCTTGCTTTTTCAACAATTTCTTAGTGCATTTTTTCCAATTGCAACCCAAAAGAATGATCTTCACTGATATTTTAATATTGCTAACATGTATCAAGTCACTTTCTTCTCTTACATACTTTAGTGTTTTGTTTGTTGTGTTTTGTCCATTGTAGCTGTTGGCTATTTGAATGTATACTGCATGCTCTATTCCTTCAACTAACATGAGGTACAGCCTTGTAATCAGTGGTATGATTCAAACATTTTCTCCAAGTCATTATTCAGATCCCTCAAAAATTATTTATAGTGCTGCATAAGGAAGCTGGCCTTGAAGTTCTATCAATTAAGCTTTTGGAAGTACAGAGGATAATTCATATCTTGATCTGTTTGTATATTGTACAATATTTAAAATGATATAGTACTGAAAATACGGGAAAGTGCTTATTTACTGAAAAAGGGAGTCAAATCACTGAACGAATCTTGACCCTTTCTTAACAAATCTAGCCAACACAGGGACCTGAAATTGTGTATGAAATAGCCAAACCCATGCATTGCAGGGGGCAGCAAGAGTTTGTTTTTCCAGCCCTTGGTGTAGCTGTTCTCTGTTCATCTTTGCTCTGACCATGTACCGACCCCAGCAGATCCCCTAGTTCCCAGACTAGTGCAAGAAGTCTGTTCCAAAATAAATGAGATCCTTAAAAAGACTTTTTTATATAACTGAAATACAGCAAATCAAAAGGAATAATGAAATATAAATCACACACTTCATCCATGATGCTCTTTTTTAGTTCTTTATAACCAACTTTTTTCTTAAAGTCCTAAGAACTCATTAATAGATACTGAAAACAAACACTACCTGTAATTTAGAGATTAAATTCTAAAGCTCGGTGTGTCTTCTGATATATGGAGACAGTTTACTCAGTGGGGACAGGAGCCTGGGGTAGGGTGACACTGAATCAGTGTTCTTGCCTTTTTCATCATTTAGTTTCTAAAGTCAAGCTGTGTTAACAGCAACATGGCAGGTTGTGGTTTGTGGTTATGATTAAACAGTGTCTGTATTCAAACTAACACTCAAACTTCTATTTAGTTATTACTTCCTCCTAGTGCCATCTAGCCTTAAAAGCACATTCAGCCATGGCTCCTCGCTGCATTCAGAGTGTAGTATGCCTCTGTAGAACTTAAAAACAGAGGATCATTTCTCTTACGACGTGTGGCACTGAAGTTTCATCCACGTGTTTTAGAATGAAAATTTTACCCTCTGGAGTAAGCCAACGTAATTCATTCTTCTTACTAAACCTGGCATAGAACAGGAGGACAAAGTTGTCAGCGCCTGTCAGAGGACTCTTTAGTAAAAGAGAACAGATTAGATTAAATACTCTTATGATCTCAGCAGGTAGAAAAAAAATCCTACTTCACTCTGTGCTGTGGCATAATATTAATGCGTTCATTCCTCCAAAAACCCAAGTCTGCCAGCCTACCCTGGGGATAGGAGAAAAATCTTCCAAGCAGCAGGGAAGATTGAGTAAAGTAGAGGTACAAAGTGTTAATTGCTGTAGGGATTTAGGCTTCGAGTGTATCCAGATCCCTCTCACTTTTGTTTTGGTCAAGGTATGAGCTCTGTAATGTCTAGGATTGAAGCACGCAGTATGATTCTAATCAGCATGTTGATGTGTAGCTGTAGGAGTTAAGAATGCTAAAGACAGCACAGGCTTCTTATGTGAAGGTAGTATAGAAAAATGGTGGAGAATTTAATCAGAAACTTAATCAGATGCAAGTAAAATCATGAAGTGTGACTGGACTCTTATACTACTGTCATGTAGGCTGTAAAATTTCTCTTCAAAAATGTGTTAAAGCCCAGCATAAAAAGCTTTCGAATTTTTTTTTTTAATGACTCTTAAGTGATGTGTCCACAGCCTTCTCTGTTACGTCTGTAGTATTTAGTGATCTCTGCAGTTTAGTTAGCATCTCATTTCAAGGTTCAGTATGCCCAGTTTGAAATCTGAAGTGCAATGTTTTGTGTTCCTCCTTCAGCATTTTAAATCCGTTGTACTTCTGGAAATGACAGTCTTAGAGCTAAATGCAGCATTTAATATGGTGGGGCTGCTATGAAGACAACTAAGTCAAGATTACTTTTCCCTGTGATGTTAATTTAATCTCTTAAATTTGCTGTTATTTTATTAATCCATTTGTGTTGTACTGCGGTATTGAACTGCTGAAGTGATTATCTACCAAAAAACCCCCCAGACTAAGGTCCTTCTGAACTGTTCCTTTTTAAGCCAGTCTGTCATTCTGCAGATGTTAAACTTGATTTCTTGATGCAGAAAGGAAGGCATATAAAACCTTGCGTAGGAACATGACTGTGTGCCCAGGACATTCATCTCTCCCTATAACAGTAGCTTCTCCCCTTACTTCTGAATGTGTCAGATCCTTGTCGTTTGAGAATCACTTCCCAGAAAAGTCACCATCTAGATTTTTCAAAATACCAAATGCTGCTTGACCGAGAGCATGCAGTTACTCTGTCATTAGTATGACTCGCCTGATATTTCATCTCTGCAGTCGCTGCGTGGATTGTGGTTTCACAAAAATACTACAAGCATGCAGGACCCCCCCTACCTGTTTGCAGTACAGAATCCTGTTGCCATACTAATTTGTCTCTGAGGATTCTGTGCGTGCTGTGGGAGCCCTTGCCCCTGTCAAGGGTATCTCACATGGAGCAATGCTCATGAGCACTAAAAGTATTTCTATTTCTATATTAAATTCACTCTTTTCTATAGGATCAACATCTAGCTTGACTGTTGCTTTTGTCATCTGCTTAGTCTAGTACTGCCAGTTCTTTGGGATTTGTTTAGTTTTCCTTCAATGAAAGCACAAAAATGAGTACTTACAGCCCACAGGGTGCGTATGTTTTGATTTAAGAAAACTTACTTGTAAGTTAGTAGTCTAATCATTTTTCAGATGATTAATTCTAGCACTGTGGAGTTTTTTGTTTGGTTGGTCTTTTGGTCCACAGAATCAATGGCATGAACTCTTCATACAACCAGTAAATCATCGCTTTGGTGGTTCTGTTAAAGCCTGTGAGGTGGTGTCTGAGCACCTGTCTGCATAACTTGTCTACTCACAAATATCCAGCAATATTTGCACGCAAAGGGGAAATCTGGTGATTTAGCTGTACTGTATTCTGTGTAGTGCAGTCCATCACTTTGGTGTCTTTAATCTTGCTTTAGCAAAAATATTTTATGGGGAGTACATACTCTTTAATATTTTAAGTACATGTCTTGATCATTTTTCCTTGTGATTAATTAAAAGGAAGGATTTCCTTGATAATTTTTAAATCATTACATTTATTTGT